GAAGGGTTGTCATGGCAACTCTGTGAATGATTGTGTGAAGTGCTGATTAGGACAGAAATTAGGGGGGCAAAAGGAGCCTAGATAGTCTTGCTCAGTGGTGCACACAACTTCTTTTGCTTCTGTTCTGAAAATTATCCTTACCTACACCAGCCTCCTTCATTCCCTCTCTAGGGGCGCCCCATTTTAAATCAGGCTGTGCTCCTGCAACTGTAAGAGAAATTTAGCAGCTTTGCTTTGCTGTCCAACTGCCCACACCTCAGTCTGTGGCAGCATGGTCATGAGTCAACACCAGCTGGCTTCTGAATCACATCTGCCTTGGTGTGAGGCAGTCATATGGATGGCTCCTACATCAGACAACACAGCACCCAAGCCTTAGAGCCTAAGGTTACCCAGATGCAAACTGGAAAGCCCTGTTTGCCTTTTATTTGTTGGTCCGCTTGTTTTAGTAATTACATTTGCATCCCGCCCTTCCTTCTATGGGAGCCCAGGGTGGCAAACACGAAAGTGGTAAAATAAAAACAATTTTAAAAATGTAAAAAATACCCTCATAGCTAACAATTTTGATGTTGGCAGAAATAGTCTTTCAGCTAAAAGATGCAGAAACATATTAAAATTCCAACTGAAAGCCAATAATGAGGGGAAGAGACACCTTACCAAAGAGCATTCTACAAAGGAGCTGCTACCAAGAAGGCCCTGTAATGGGTCAGTGCCAACTGGGCAGCACCCTGTGGCAGCACCTCCAGCAGGGTCTCCCGTGTTGCTTGTAGGGCCTGAGATGGTTGGTACTGAGGGGAGGCACTCTTTTAGGTCCTTAGGTCTCAAGTCATTTAGGGCTTTGCATGTCAGGCCTGAAACCTTGAATTGGGCCCTTATAAAGCAGGAGCTGTGTGCTCTTCCACTCCTGCCTCTTCTCCAAACCACCCTTCCCTCTGCTTTCCATCCCTTCCTGCAGCAGGTCAAAGGCTGCTGCAGATGGAAGAAGAGAAGGACAAAAGAGCTAAGGGGAGAGTTGGGCATAAGACTCCAAACAGGTTCTTTTGTCTCTAGGATTGCCACCTGACCAGGGAAAAACCAGCCTGCTCTGTTCCTCTGCTTTTAGTTGATGCTTGATAAACAGTTCAAACCGCTGCCAAAGGTACAATTTTGGTAGCTAGTTCAGAAGTTGGAAAACTAGTGCCTTGCATTGTTGGAAATTGACATTAAGTTGGATTTAGCATCTAGGCCAGGGAGAACAAACCTTTATCAGTCCAAGGTTCCCTGATTTGCAACCTCCAAGGGGCCATGTGCAGGTGGTGGGCAGGGCCAGAGGAAGAAATGGTCAAAGAAACAGTGAGGAGTGTACAAAGAGTTATATTCCAGCTAAGCAAAAGTCACCAAGGTCTACAAACACTAGGGCTGCCAGCCCTATACTGAAGAGCAAAAAGAGGACAGCTCAAGTTGCTGCCAGCCCAAGCTGGGAAAAGAGGTGTGGGGGCTACCACACCACTTGCCTCTTTTCCTGACTTGGGCTGGCAGTGGCTGCAGCATGCAGAGCAGCCTGAGCACAAGCCGCCCAAGCCCATTCCCCCTTCCAACACCCAGACATTTCATTTAAAATGTAAACATCTGCCTGGATAGGCATATTTGCACCCCAAAAAAGGACATGTTCGGGTTTTGCCGTACGTATGGCAACCCTAACAAATGCATCATTCAGGCAAATGAGAAGCATCATCATCATCATCATGTTCAAGGACATTCTAGCCAGCCAAAAACATTCGAGGAAGGCATGAAGCAGGGCGAGTGAAGTGTGTGGCCTGGGGAGGGAAATGAGGGCTAGTTAGGGAGGATCAGAGGGTTGCATTTGGCCCCCAAACTTCAGGTTCCCCACTCCTGATCTAGACCAAATTGCTATCTCTGCTAGGTAGGATTGAATAGAATTTTAGTCAAAAACATATGGAAGACACCAGGGTGGAGAAGGTTAGATGCTGCCTTGCCACCAAGGATCTAGAGGAGGGAGACGTATTTTCAGTAAGATGGCCTCACCTTCCTCTTTGTTTGGCTCCGAGACACACAGAAGTGCCTGAGTTTAGAGCTGGAAGGGTTTAAAAATAGCTCTTTTATTTTGGATTCTCCAGAGGCCTGGCAGGAGGCTTGTCCGCGTGAGGCTTCATTGCGCAATCTGTGACAGCCTCAACGAGTTGCTCTTGAGCCCCCAAATATTGTGAGTGGTGCTGGTTGCTCAGTGAGGAGGAGGCTGCTAATGAGTGGAAAGAAGTGCAATCTCTTGCACAGAGGCAAGCCTTTTCGATAGGGCTGAGCAAGTTTTCTTAGGCTCAGTTCTGAATTGAGTCACATAAAATGAGCTGATTTGGGATTTCTTTGGACTGATCTTGAATAGCTTGGGTCTGTTCTGGAGACTAGGACGTGGGTGGTGCTGTGGGTTAAACCACAGAGCCTAGGACTTGCCAATCAGAAGGTCGGCGGTTCGAATCCCTGCGACGGGGTGAGCTCCCATTTCTCAGTCCCTGTTCCTGCCAACCTAGCAGTTTGAAAGCACGTCAAAGTGCAAGTAGATAAATAGGTACCGCTCCAGCAGGAAGGTAAACAGTGTTTCCGTACGCTGCTCTGGTTCACCAGAAGCGGCTTAGTCATGCTGGCCACATGACCTGAAAGCCGGCTTCCTCGGCCAATAAAGTGAGATGAGCGCCACAACCCCAGAGTTGTCCGCAACTGGACCTAATGGTTAGGGGTCCCTTTACCCTTTATTCTGGAGACTCCCAAGTTTTGTCACATTCCTGATGATATCATTGCAGACATGACCAGCTCTGGAGACCTTTTCTCCACCACCACCCAAATCTATGGCTATATCTGTGTGGCACTGGGCTCAGTCCCCAGCATCCCTAGGGTGGGCTGAGAAAAATGCTTTCTGAAACCCTGGAGAGCCACTGACACTCAGCATAGACAACACCAAGCAAGATGGCGTATTGGTCTTGCTTAGTATAAGGCTCTAGGCTCCTTTGCAAGCCCTCTCTTTCCATTGTCCCTGTTTCTCAGAAATGATATGGGGTGCTGCTCTGGCAGTGGCACCACTGTGGGTACAAAGGATCCTGTGTAGTCTTTAGTAGCCTTATCCTCCATGAACTTGTTTAATACTTTTATGCAATCGTAATACAAGTTGTTGGCCATCACTACATCCTGTGGGAGAGACCTGCACAGTTTAACTATGTGCTGTAAGAAGAAGAAAATGTACCTCTTTGTCTGTCCTGAATCTTCCAATGCTCAGCTTTCTTGCATGGCCCCAGCTGAGTTCTAGCATAATGAGACTGCATGTGCAGGATCTTGTTTTTCATTCTGAGCCAGCAAAGAATTTGGAGGACAAATGCAGCTCACTTCATCATACATCCAAGCATTTTGAGCTTGCTCCAGAGGGCAATGTTAAGTATTTCATCACTGAAAGATCAACTGAGCACATTAAAGGCCTTTTGAACATTTTTTTAAAATAAAAAAATATTGGTTGTGAATAATTTATCAAAGGGCCAGGGACTGGCAATGCAGGGATCAGAAATCTGTTGTAGGGAGTGCGCAGTGTGAATCTGCTTTGCTCTCATCTGCTTTCAAGTATTCGCAAGCGATGCCACCCTTGATTCTCCCCTTCCAGAGCCTGGGGGTCTGCAAGTCAGGGACTGTTTCTAAGTGGTTAATCTTGTCCGCTCTACTGTCCCTATCTGAGGGAAAGGTCAGTTGTAAAGGGCAGGTAAACAGCATAGCTGAAGCACAAAGCAGAGTCTTGCTTTGGTGAGCCATCAGGAGGGGAAATTCACTCTCTTGTAACTCTCTGAGAATTACAGCTTGGCCACAGGGGATGGGGGTGGGGGACACACTAATGGAGACAGATTTGCTCCCCCAGGTTAATTGCTGTGGATTCTGAGGTTGGTTAGCCATCTGATTTCAGTTGTGGTTGTGCAGTGGAGTTATCAACTTTTTTGTTTTAACTTAGGACATAGTGCCACATTTTGGAAATTCTCCCCAGACGTCAATTCTGCCTTTGAAATCCCGGTAATGTCCGGACATATGGCAGCCCTGTTTTAACTACAGCCCACCCTTGTACATTTAGCAGTAGATGAATTGGAGGTGTTTCTATCCCCGTTCTGAAAAGCATCGCTTGCTAACACCTAAAGCACAAGCACAGAGCAGGTGCTCCTCTCTCCCCACTATGGTGGTGCAGAACATGAACAGTGAACCAGGAAATCCCTGAGTGAATATTAACCTCAGCAATGAATTCACTTGCTAGCCTTAGGCATGATATTGTCCCACACTTATGTAACTAGCCTCTGACCCACCAAGATGAAGGCAGCCCACTGGGGGATCAACATTTTTGCTCCCTCCTTGGGACACCACAGACCATGGAGTTGTGAGCGAGTTGTGCTGGTGGGCTGTGTATAACTTGGTGGTCACCGATTCTGCAAACCTGGCCCATTTTCTCAGCCTTAGTTTACCATGCCTTAGTCTGCAACGTGGGATGGGGGATACGATCATGCTAAAATATAAACAGATTGTCAAAATCTGTATATAAACTGACAGGTGATGGAAAAGGAAATGTCTAACTTAGTGTGTTAGACATTCTGTTACAGTATGCAAAACTATACTATAACACATATTCATTTTATACCAGTTTAGTGGTTACCCCCAGATAATTCTGGGAGTTGTCATTTGATGAGAATTCTTTGTTGTTTAGCTCCCCCCACCAGACTTTCCCTGTCTGGGGGGTGGGTGTTAATAAGCATTAACTAAGTTTAAGTCTGTATTGGATGTTAATAATGTTGTAATTTTCAAATGGAGAGGCGGGGTATAAATGTTTAATTAATAAATAACATTGTGGCGTAGATGCATGCAAAGAGCAATCCTCAATAATTTGATGGACCTTAAGGTGTCTTGAAACCAATAATAACCCAACCATGGGCACTTTTTAAGTTCTGAAGTCTACTGCCCCCCCCCCAAGTATAATGATTTCTTTCTTTCAGATGGTGGGCCAAAAAAGCTTCGTAGTAACATCCGCAGGAGTACGGAGACTGGCATTGCTGTGGAGATGAGGAACAGGGTCACTCGGCAAGGCAGTCGGGAGTCAACTGATGGAAGCACCAATAGTAACAGCTCCGATGGCACGTAAGGCCCAGTGGCAGTGAAGGCCACTTTTCTATATAGGGCAGATGCCCCACGTCTTTTTGTAAATGGCTTTCAGGTTTTACAATCAAGTGGTATATAAATTTTATGAAATAAAATAAACATAAATAAACATAAGCACAGGAGAGACAGATTACACAGTCGGTCCCCAGTGGCTTGGTTTTTTCTTATAGTGATCTGCTGTTAGTGGCTCATAAATGGGAAAAAGGCACAAGAGGAACAGGAAGCATGATGCCCTGGCGCTTCCTGTTCCCTCACTCCTCTGCATTATCAAAAACACATTCCTCAACAGAGGCTTCTGCAAGAAAAGTGAATGAAACATGAGATAGTAGGCCTGTCTTTTCCCGCTTTGCTTCACCATCATGTCTGAAACCATCCTGTGGCATGAGGAAGGAATGAAGGAAAGGGCAAATGAAGAAGTGACTCACACGCCTTACCCTGCCAGGCTTCATATGAAGGCAGGGGGTGCATTTCTTCTGAGGGAGATATGAACGTACTCTGTCCTCACACAGGAAACCCCTTTGTTCCTCATGGAAAAGATGTGCATTTTCCAGACCTAGTGTTAAAGGTTGACATGGTTGAGGGCCCAAACCCCTTGACAAGAGTCCTCTTAGCCAGCTCCTCCTCTTTCCCATCACAACCTGCTTGTTCGCCCAACTCCCAGGCAGGATGAGCAGGTAAAGAACCATGGTGCGGAGATGGAAGCAGAATTGCTGCCACGGCCTGCTTGGCTCTGTCTCTCAACCAGTCAGGTGGTAATAATAATAATAATAATAATAATAGTGGTAGCACTGATGAGGCAGGGGAGCAGTAGCTGCTGGCAACAGAGGTAGTGAGGGGAGTAAGTCTGCTGAGGTAGGGGGTCCCATTAATGGCCTGCCAAAACTTGGGGCTGGCGCTACATCTTTTCCATTAGACAAAGGGATGCAGGGATAACAGTGAATCTCGTTTCTGCATCTTCTCTCTTTTCACCTCTAAAATGTCCAGTGTAGCACCTGTTCACTGTATTTCCGCACTGCCATTTCTCTCCCCTCATTCCCTAACTCTGTTGTCCTTTCCTTCAGGTTTATTTTCCCCACAACCAGGCTGGGAGCTGAAAGCCAGTTCAGCGACTTCCTAGATGGGCTGGGGCCAGCACAAATTGTAGGACGGCAGACACTTGCTACTCCGCCAATGGGTGAGCGAACCAGTTCTAGGCACTCAGTGCTACAAGGTCACCTGAACACCTACTGGTACCACCTTTGGATTTTGTGCAGTTAACACGCTATCAAAGTCATCTTTCGTTGAGCAGGCATGGCACAGGGGCGGATTCCTGCTGAGCTCTTCTCAGACTGACCAGAATGGTGCTGTTCCTCTGGCCCATTGTTGAGTTTTGATGTGGGAATCACAGGTTCAAATCCTCACAGAGCTCTGAAGCTCTCCAGATAGTTTAAACAGGGGCGGCAAATGCTTGGCCTGTCTGATGTTGCTGGTCTCCAGCTCCCACCAGCAACATGGCTGACGGGGATGATAGGAGTTGTTGTCCAGCAACAACTGGAGGGTCACAAGCCCCCACCTCTGCTTTAAGTGATTCTTATTAGAAACAATCAAAGAAGGCCAGGAAAGTGTGCCAAAAAAGAGCCACAAATCCCCTTTTCGTCGTTGTTAAGAGGGGATCTGTGATCACCTTGTGTCGATAACCTTGTTATTATAAGGTATAACAAAATGCTCTATAAATACATCTGTTGTTTTGCAGTTCAGGTGTGAACCTTGAACCTTTTCACTTCAGCACTTAATTTTGAAAATGAAGGTTTTCTGGGAGATTCAACCATCCCTGCTTGAAAGCCTGCCTTTTAAAATTCCTCTCGTCTTTTTATATGAGACTAGGATGTGGTTGTTAAGCAGTGAGGAAAAGTCTATCTGCACATGTTCAGAGGTACTTCTACATCCTTTTTTCTCATGTTCCAAGCCTGAGCTCTGGCACAGAACAAGGACCGCTTCCCCCATTACTGTTCTGTTCAAGATCCTGTTCTCACTTCCTATCAGCTCCATGTGCCACTGTTACAAAAATTCCTTTGAGCATACTGTTCAAGATAAAGCAACTGTGAAAATGCACTGTTGGCACAACAGTAGTTTTCTTAAAAGGAGGGCTCATTTTGTTTTTCTGTTTCTTGTGCTGCTTTTATCTTTTTTATTTTCTTTCTGTGCTGCTTTATTTTATTTTATTTCAATTTGCCTTTTCTGCCTGAAAACCGTGCCCTCTAGTGGTAAGATATGAGTTAACTGATGGCTCATTCTTCTACAAATAAGACATATCATAAAGGAGTCGTCTATCCTTTTGCACTCCTTGCAATGGAGAACCCAATTTCTTTTTTGCCCTCTGCTGGTTAAAAATAGGAATGATGGGCATAGACAACTATCCTAGGGCTTTATTCACATGAACAGGCAAGACAATTTTGCTTTGTGCTGTTCACACATTATATGTGGGATAAGCAAGGCTTTTTTCAGCCGGAACTGGCTGGAACTCAGTTCCAGCACCTGTCAGGTGGGTGCCATTGCTGTTATAAGAGAAGAAGAGAGGTGTTCATGGTAAGTTCTGGCACCTCTTTTTCTAGAGAAATAGCACTGGGTGCAGTGGTACCTCTGGTTACATACTTAATTTGTTCCGGAGGTCCGTTCTTAACCTGAAACTGTTCTTAACCTGAAGCACCACTTTAGCTAATGGGGCCTCCTGCTGCTGCCGCGCCGCCAGAGCACGATTTCTGTTCGCATCCTGAAGCAAAGTTCTTAACCTGAGGTACTAATTCTGGGTTAGCGGAGTCTGTAACCTGAAGTGTATGTAACCTGAAGCGTATGTAACCCGAGGTACCACTGTATAAATGTGCACAAGGAGCAGCAGGCTGTGCTTTTAGCTCCACCCTTGATGTCACATTTGGTTTCCCCACCCCCCTGCTTGTTAGTAAGGGCTCTGTGTAATCAGAATACCAGCACAATCAGATGTCCTGATGTGAAGAGCCCCCACTCATTAGCAGTTGCTCATACACTGAACTTCCTCCTTGCAGAACTGAGGCCCACATGTGGTGGATGGGGCAGGGAGATTCAATGTCGGGGCAGCGTTTAATGCACGGCCCTGCTTTCTACACATGTATTCCCTGTACACAAGTCATGTGTGAATAGGGCTACAGTCTCAGCATAAGGGCAGGACAAGACCATGCATTTCTGTGGATACAGCACTGAATTGTCCTCTTTGGTGCTTTCTGAAGAGGATCATAGCTCAGTTGTAGAGCATCTGCTTTACATGCAGAAGGTCCCAGGTTCAGTTCCTATCGTCTGCAGGTAGGACAATGGGAGACCCTGGACAGCCTCTTCCATTCAATGTAAAACAGTGGCAAGGAACCTATGGCCCACTAGATGCTGTTGGATTACAAGTCCCATCATCCCTGATCAGTGGCCATGCTGGCTAGGAGGTGGATGGGAGCCCAGCAACCTCTGGAGAGCAACAGCTTCCCCATCAGTGCTGTAAGCAATTCCTGAACTCAAGGAACCAAGGAACTAAGTCAGTAGACGCCAGATTATTAGGTTCCTAAGCTGTCCAGCCTGTTCAAAAGCATCCTGCCAAGGGAGTGCATCCTGGTGAGGAGCCACTTTTGGTAAACCCTTTGCACTGATGGGGAAAAATGTTTTCATCTGGTGAACCCTGCTTCCATTTTATATTGTTTTGTTTCAATATTGCTGTTTTATTATAGGATTCTCATGTGTCCGGATTTTTTAACCCCCCTTTAGCAGTGTTGGCTGGTATTCATTGGGACTGGTAGGGCAGAAGGCGGGCGGGCGGGGGGCAACCGTAGGTGGAGCCAGAGCCAATGACAGGGAAAGCCAGCTAATTCTGGTTTTGTTCCCATCCTCCTGCCTGCTGAGTTCTAAAAAGGCAAAACTGAGATGGAGGAGGAGGAAGCGGACAGCCAGGGCCAGCCCCTGGGCTGGTTTTGAGTAAGAGGCATGCAGGGTAGGAGCAGGCTGAGGTTGGTGGGACAGCACCCCATTTGCCTTTAGAGACCCTCCGCTGCCCTTTAATCTGTATCCAATCCATGGTGTCACAGTATTCCAAATGTGGATATGCTACAGAAATGTCAAGGTGGCAGAAAGCAAGTCGCAGAGATGATACATGACCGGCACAGGACTGTGAATATATTCCCATGTTGACTTTTCTGACTTCTTCTAGGTGATGTCCACATTGGAATGATTGACAGGAATGGACAGCTGGAGGTAGAAGTAATAGAGGCCCGGGGACTCAGTCCAAAGCTAGGATCCAAGTCCATTCCCGGTGAGTAGCCACATCAGAGAAGGCCGTATGGATAGAAAATATCACGTATGACAACTGGCATGGAGCAATTGGATGTGGTTTGGGGAAAACAGATTAGTGGACTCAATTTGGTCCATGCACCAGAGGTATCCCATGGAGGAGTTAAGTGAGTTGTTTCTAGTTGTTTACTTGTTTCAGAGTGCTAGACTTAGTCATTATACATCCTCCTGCCTCCTTTAGAAGTAGAAAGAATATGTAAAATGGGGTTCGTGTTTGTAGAGAGGCAACTGGGAATTAATATATTCAGGTCTTCCTTTTGAGGAAAAAGTACAGGGAAAACTGGGTCTTTTTCAGTAACTCCTTCCTCACTTAGTTTTTCTTTCCACGAGTTTTACCATCATTTGTCTCACTAAGATACCCAATTCCCTCTAACATGTTTTTTTAACTCTGAACACACAGATTATTATTATAAATAGTCTGACTTAGTAAGAGTGCTAATAAATGCTTAACATTTAATTAATTCATGATATGTTTTCATAAAGTGCTATTTGATTATACCTTTGTTGCCTAAATATCTGGCAGGTCCTTTTTAATCCTGCCCCAGCTTCTACCTTTTTCTTTACCAGAAGGCGACATTTTATCTGAGTTTCCCTGCCACAGGATAATTTTGTTTAACCATAAGGGCAAATGAAAGTGCCTTAATGTAAGAATAAAGTCTCCCCTCAAGCCCTATCCCCCAGAGACCTCAAAAGTGTTTCATCTGCTAGACCGCCTCAAAAACCAGCCCCGAGACATAGCTGCTGTTATAACAGGCCATTCATGTTTCTTTCTCTCTGCCAATGCAGCCACCTACATCAAGGTTTATCTGCTAGAAAATGGCGCTTGCTTGGCCAAGAAGAAAACAAAGACTGCCAAAAAGACCTGTGACCCGCTCTACCAGCAGGCCCTACTCTTTGACGAGGGCCCTCAGGGAAAAGTGCTACAGGTGATTGCTTTCCTCCTCTTTAAAGGGTAAGAGGATCACTACCACAGCTCATCTTCCCTCGGACAGAATATGTCCTGGTGGTACATGAGGGAAAGAATATTCTAGAAGCTTTCTAGGAGGGCAACCCATTGGGGCAAAATGAAAGTTTCTGCTGAGGTAAAATGCCCTGATTATGGGGAGGGGCTTGGTAGGCCTGTGTGGGCATGTGGGAAGCAATAAAAAAGCCAGGGTGGTGTAGTGGGTAGAATATTGGACTAGGACCTGGGAGACAAGGGTTCAAATCCCCACTCAGCCATGAAGCTCACTGGGGCCAGACCTTGGGATAGTCACTGCTTCACAGGGGGGTTGTGGGGATTAAATGAGGAGCGGGGAGAAGTGTGTATGCTAAAACCGCAAGACAAAGGATTTGCTTCGGCCCAAAGACTATGTGTTTATGGTTACATTTTTATACTTCATAGTTGGCATAGTAATGTTAACCACAAAGGTCAAAAAGTTTCACATATATTCCCTATTTTGGAACACAGGGATTTAATTGTTTATTTATGTATAGAATTTACAAGTTTACCGTTTGATGGGAACATCTTCAGGGTTGGCTAGCAGCTTACAAAAATCAGTACAAAAAAATTAGAAAATATAGTTGGTACGCATGTCTAATATACTCTCAGTGCATGTCTGCTCATAAATAGGGATTTTTCTCATTTTACCAAATTCAGTAGTAGTAGTAGTAGTAGTAGTAGTAGTAGTAATACTCTGCCCATCTGACTGGGTTGCCCCAGCCACTCTGGGTGGCTCCCAGCAGAATACTAAAAACCCATTTCTGTGTAATTCATACATTTTTGTGTGCCATTTTCACTAATAAGTGCATTTTATGCATGCTTCCTTTAATATGCACATTTTATTGGTCACAAAATCTGGAGAAGTGCTAATTTCAAAGGACAGTTATGTTTTGATTTGCATATTATTTCAGGAACTGCAGATTAGGTAGTAACCTAACCAAATGTCTCCCTAGTCAGTTCCACTGAACTCATTGGGACTTACTCCCAGGTAAGTCAGTATAGGATTGCACAGCTTAAACTGCTTTTGCTGCAATCCCTCTTCACGCTTGCCTAGGAATAAATCCCACTGAATGGTGTGACTCACTTCAGAGTGAAGGTGGATAGGACTGTCCTGTGGATTACATTGTCACTCAGCGGCTGTATTGCACCTCACAGTAAACCACGGCGAATGGTTTATCACAATGCACAGATCACTCCCACTTTGCTCCGCTAGGGAGAAGGAGCAAAAAACCGCAGTCCTTGGCTTAGTATTACATCTGAACCAGGGTTCAAACAAGCCATGATCTGAAGCTAATGTTTGTTCTTGGCTTACCAATCATGGGTTGATTGGAGCGAAACAAACCACAATTCCTGGTTCAAATGCAATGCTTTTGGGGAAGATCGTCATGTTCTCTGTGAAGCACTAATCATGGTTTAGGATGGTGTGCGAATACATCCGATGTGTAGAACTAGGGAGTTGGCTAGAAACATAGGGGATCCTAAGGATTAATCATGTGGTCTGAAAAAGCAGAAGGCGGACAGATTCCTTCCCAACTTCTCTAGGTGGCATATCTGGTAGGCATCCCCTTTACTTTTTACTCCCCATAGCAAAGTTCTGCTGGCAGTTCAACTCCTCCTTCTCTTTCATTGTAGGTGATTGTTTGGGGAGATTATGGGCGCATGGACCATAAGTGCTTCATGGGAATGGCCCAGATCGTTCTAGAAGAGCTGGACCTGTCCAGTGTGGTGACCGGTTGGTACAAGCTCTTTCCCACCTCCTCGCTGGCGGACTCCACCATTGGACCCCTTACGCGACGTCTCTCCCAGTCCTCTCTAGAGAGTTCAATAAGTCCGTCTTGCCCTTAAGGATGGACTGGGAGGAAAGAAGGAAAGCAAAGGAGGAGACACCCTGATCTGCCACAAATTTGGTAGCATGGTTTGTAAATATCCCATGTCTTTCCCTCCCATCACCTTTCCTTCTACTTCTTCACAGAGGGAAGACTGCTACCAACGATTTTAGGCGTTCCCTCACTCACCCTGCAGGTATGCGATTATAGGAAGAGATAATTCCAGAATGTGGTGGGGGAGGAATTAAAAGGAGATGGGGGTGGGAGGAAAGGAACATGTGATAAAAGGCAAGTCATGTGACTGGCTCCCCATTTTCAAGACTGTTGCATCACTTTCAAACAAATTGCCTTTGAAAAGGAGTCACCCATTTCTCACATCTCTAATGCATTTTGGGGGACACATCTCCAACCTGACTCAGTTAATCCCATTGCAAGTAGCATGTTAATTGAATATGTTTCTTTCCTGCTCCATATTGTTTCATTTCCATATCTCTGAAGGAGAAAGTAGAGCTTTTCTCATTTTTGTTTAGAAAAAAAGAAAGACTGACTGAAATCAAGCACTATTCAGCTTTTTAAAAAGGAATGTAGCATCTTCAGACATTATGTAGCCTGCCATGTGCTCACAAATCTCTCTGCAATATATGGGTAGACAGTTTTGCTCCTGAATTTCTGGGTGCAAGCCTTGGAAATGTTGAGCAAGCAATCAGAGTTTTGTTTGTCTTGCATATAAATGGTGGGAAGACAGGTGATTCTGCCAAAGTTGTGAAGTGGGGGGGGGGGAGCTATAAATGGTGCATTTGACATGACTGTTAAGTTTAAAGCATATTAAGGTTCCTGTTTTTGCTTTCTCATCTTATGAACAATTTAATTTGTTTCTCCTACTCCAACCAAGGCATTAGCCTTTGGGCATAATCCAATCTCTCATCCAAGCCCCACTGGAATTGTGAGGCTTGTGCAAGAGCCCAATAGCTCTGCATTGCTTCAGCTGAGAGATGCACACAAGATAATGCCAGAGATTGGTGTCCTTTGCAGTTTCATCTTTGTATGGTCTTTGCCTTTGCCTTTGCATCTGGGTCCAGTTTGCAACCCAAGAGGCAGGATGTCAAACTGCTGGCATTCAAATAGAAGGTGAAGCTTTCACTGGACAAGGTAGAATATGCCTCTTTGAAACCCTATTGGTGGGCATATCTGAATAGCACATTGTGGTTTTCTCATAAGGGTGAATGTGGTTCTGTCAATCTACTGTTTTGAATTTAAAACGTTCTGGCTGCAATCATAAATGCACTTACTAGGGAGTAAGTCCCCACTGAATTCCCAGTGGGGTTTTACACCTGTGTAAACCTGCATAGGACTGGGTTATTAGTTGTGTATTCATGTGTTTTTAAGTAGCAATCTGGCACCCAAAGCAAGGGCCAGTTCCTGTAGCAAAACTGAGAATTACAGCTTTTAATGAAGGTGCCTACTAAAATTTGATGAAATTACTCAGGGGAGATACTACTGGAAATCATTATTTCTTCTTCATTATTCCTATGTTTTTTAAGTTTCACACTGACCGTAGTGTAGGAGATCTAAAACAGAAGGATCCCTTGTCACTGCAGAAGCAAACAAGAAGTTTTTGGACAATTTCTGCTTGCCAAGTAGCTTTGGGTGTTTCATATTCAATCCAACAGTGCTCAAATTGAGATTTTTAAAGAAATTATTATTAGTGGTAAGGAGCACATTTCACCAAGAAATTTCATAATATAATGCACAAGATAAGATATGGGTTCTTCTGTTGCTCTAGCCAAGCATGAAACAACCAAGTTCTTAAGAAGAGTTAGATTCAGAGAGATAAGAAAACAGCAAAGAATCATTTCCACCATTGAAATGAAGTGGATGGCAACCTTTTGCTGATGATGATCTGAAGGGATCCTGTCTCTGCCCTCACAAGGCACAAAGATCTGCACAGTAACCCTCTTTCAGCAACTTTAAACCTTTCTGATCTTTTGGATTTGTAATTTATGTGCTTTCATGTTTAAGGCATCAGATTTACAATTTCAGCAAACCTGCAGCCTTCAGAGAGTTGATGAAATTCCATTGGTCTGGGTGTTCTCCTTGGCCATTTCATGCCTTTGTTCCAGTATTTTGTCCATTGTGGCTCCCCTCAAACCCCTACCCCAGCCCCAGAATAAGCAATATGTTGGTTTGCACCCAAGGTGCTCGTTCTCTGGTTAATGTTAGAATGTCTTCAGCGGGGGTGGGGAACTGATGCTCACTGATGTGTTAGTCAAGTCATCTGTATTGATTGCTTTTTGCTATCCTCCTGCTGTACCTGCAGGTGTGGGCACTGCAGAAGATATAGCAAAGCATGAACTACTTTAAGTTATTTTGTCCATCAGCATTTATGACAACCAATGCATCCAACTTTGCTCTTGCAGAAAAGTGAACAGATCTGTTTGGAGGTGGAAAAAACGACTAAATCACCACTTAGGTCATGACATGAAAGTTATTCAATTGGCTGTCCAAGCCACCTACTTTCTTGTGCCAATAGTAGAACTGTGCAACCAAATAGACCTATTTCTTGAAACCAAAAGAGGGCCATAACGAGATTTGCTGCCAAAGGCATCACTGAGCCCACTGTTTGTTTGTGAGCAAAGTAGGAAAGACCATTGAGATAGTGGACTAGTTGACTAGTTCCGCAAGTTACACCAGCTGGAAGAATATTCATGAAGCACCTAATGCCTCTGGGCCAGAATAGGAAGGAACTCTCTTGTAATACATGGCTTAAGTTTTCATAATGGCACTCATGCTCTGGAAAAACAAGAATAAGAGAGCATCACTTCTAAACACATTTCACCAGATATTTCTTCAGATGAAACTGGAACATTGTTGCCAGGCTGAAAGCACCAGGCAGCAGACAGAAAGCGGGTCAACGATTCTCCATTCCTCTTGCATCCACATGGTGAAGTCATGACAAATCAGTTTCCAAGATGGACACAGTATTCTTGAGCCAGTGCTGATAGGCATGAAAAACCTGACCTGCTTCACATTGCAGTCAGCCACACATTAGTGCAATCATTGGACTGCTATGCTGTACATTAACTCAACCCACAATTACTGCACCAAACATCAAGGTTGGTCTCTGTGGGAGATGTTTCAAGAAGGGTATGAAGACAAGTCACAGGTGCAAACTGGGGCATAGAACCACTCAGTCCACATGTCAGCATATGGGCTTAGGCTTTATCAGTTGGCCCATAACAAACTGTGGCGGTGGAATATCTTCTTTGCTTTTCTTACCATGAAGAACCCCGACCCACATTTGTTCAGCAATGTGTGAATTAAGATTAGCTCTATATTTTAATGTCTGCTTCCAAACATAAGTGCACTGGCCGGCATCCAAAGAAAAAAGCAATTAGTTTCATGCATGCATTCAAAGACCTTAAAAAAACACACAACACATTTAAAACTTTTTTCTAATGGCTCATCTTTGTAGGCAAGGGGTTGCATCCATGGACAGAAGATATAAAGGTTCAAGTGGTATTTGAAAAATACATTCCAGATTCTCTTGCACTAAACAATTTTCTAGGGGACACACAACCCATTCTGGTGGCAGTAATACTGTAGGAACGAAAGCTGATGCAAACTAAGGGCGATGGGTTCATAGGAGCTCCTTTCATCGGAAACCAAGCTACCAAGAAGCAGCTACCCTGCATTCCCAATCTTACTCCACTAATAAATGGGACTTTGAGCAGTTTCCCCAGCACATCCTGAAGGACAGTTGGGTTGTAGGGTGAAAGTATAGCTGATGAATGAATAATCTGGTATTTATTTGCCCCATACATTAATCCAGGTTACAGGAAATGCATGAAGGTGGAAGTAAAATTGGGATCTATGGTGAAAACAAAGCCGGAGGGGGGCAACTCAATTGAAATATTTCCTCTGGGAGTAGAAATGGTGAACAGCAACAGTCTTGGCCTTGTGCTGTTAATTAATAGTGCAAGACTAGCTGCTCCAGTTAACTGCTAGTTATTGGTTGTATACCTCATTATTTTAATTACTAATATGTTGTGACTTGTTTCAAGTGTTTGTCTGTCTGATAAAGGAAACTGTGGGTGTTGAGAAACAGCTGTGAGAAGCCTCCATTAGCACATCTCTTCCCCCGTTTGCTTTGCCCGTGAGTAGATACAGATTCAGAGTTTGTCTACTAGTGTGCGTTTATTTATTGCCATCATGTATATTTCACTTTTTTAAAAAAGTTTACAAAAAAGGAGTCCACAGAACCACAATAAAATCACAATTGAAAGAGTATCAGATAATTATGAGCACTTCAGCACAAGCTGTATAAAAGGCAGCCACTCGGGTAGCCATTCCCAAGCTGGTGCCCTCCAGATGTTTTGGATGCAGTCAGCACACATGTGCAATAACAATGGTTATTAGAGTTCATATTGAAGTTGCTGTTGAGAAGTAGGTCTTGTAGAAGCCATTTGTCCATTCCACAACTTCAAAAAAAGTAGTAGTAGTTTTTGGCGTGAAAAAGCAGCCTCAGAACTGTTGAGGAGTGTTGGCAAAGGGGTGATGTGTGTGTTAATTGAGGTTGTTTTCAAGTCACTGGTCTCTGTCCACATTTAGGGGGTGGGTGGGTGGGTGGGAGGGGAAGAGAGAAAGATGTTTGTCAATTAGACATTCCAAGCACTTGCTGGAATGGAGGACTGTATTTCCGATATTCATAGCAAGGACCTCGAAGCAATGCTTTCCTGATCCCAGAGATGACAGCTTGTTCTCACTGGGCTTGGGTGCAATGGTCTCCCCCAAGACCGTGCACCTGGCTTTGGCCTAGTAGAGAACAGCTCTGGACTGTTAGCACTTTTGATGTTGGTGGCCTTGTTGGGGTTTTTTTCCTTCTTTTTTTAAAAAAGGGCTTATTACCGTACCGTATTTGTTAACTGAATGAAAATCCTTCACCTCCCCATCAGTTTGGTCTTCCCATCCCTTTTAAACAAAGCAACTAGCAAAATAGCACAGGTGATACCCACTGAATTCCCAGAGTGTGACAATGGAAACGGGAGGCAATTCTACCTCTGAATCCTGTTTGGCCTGGAGCTGTTCTGGAACTAGAATCGTGGTAAGGTTTGAGATCTATTCATAAGACAATTTAAAAAACACTCCCAAAATGACCATCTAAATAAAAAGAGACACTGATAAATGCAAACCTGATTTAGAAACTCTTTATATTGCCATTGCTTTAAAATGAGACCTAATGCTTCCCTGAAGGAAAGAGTCCTTGTGAATATGATTCCTTCAGAATCGCTGCCCATGGCAGATGTGGTGCAGGAATTCATATATTTGCAGTTTTATAAAAAAATTCAAAACAGTATACAAGTAATTAAACTTCATACAAAACATACACACACTGTAAAAACCACATTAGCAGCAGAGCTGAGCAGCATCTTAGCTAGGGGTCATCAACCTTTTTCAGCCGTGGGCCGGTCCACTGTCCCTCAGACCATGTGGTGGGCTGGACTATATTTTGAAAAAAAATATGAACGAATTCCTATGCCCCACAAATAACCCAGAGATGCATTTTAAATAAAAGCACACGTTCTACTCATGTAAAAACACACAGATTCCTGGAACGTCCACGGGCTGGATTGAGGTGATTGGGCCTCATCCGGCCCCCGGGCCTTAGGTTACCTACTCCTGATCTTAGCAGATGCCACTTCTAAATGCATAACAGAAAAAGATGTTAATCTGTTTCAAAAGGGATGACAGAGAGGGAGTCAAATAGGCTAAAAGTTCTGGGGTTAAACAGAAAAAAGCTCTGCTTCATGGAGGCCAACTTGATTTCTATATATTATACTTTCAGCAGTAGACCTTAAATTGGTGGTGTTCATATGGAAACAGATTCCCCATGGGAGAATCTGGACCTAAACCATTTATGGTTCTTTAGGTCAAAAATCGGGGACGCGGGTGGCGCTGTGGGTAAAAGCCTCAGCGCCTAGGACTTGCCGATCGAAAGGTTGGCGGTTCGAATCCCCGCAGCGGGGTGCGCTCCCGTTGCTCGGTCCCAGCGCCTGCCAACCTAGCAGTTTGAAAGCACCCCCGGGTGCAAGTAGATAAATAGGGACCGCTTTCTAGCGGGAAGGTAAACGGCGTTTCCGTGTGCGGCTCTGGCTCGCCAGAGCAGCGATGTCACGCTGGCCACGTGACCCGGAAGTGTCTCCGGACAGTGCTGGCCCCCGGCCTCTTGAGTGAGATGGGCGCACAACCCCAGAGTCTGTTAAGACTGGCCCGTATGGGCAGGGGTACCTTTACCTTTACCTTAGGTCAAAAACAGAACCCTGAACTGAGCTCATTAACCAGGGGTGGCTGACATTTGGTGCTCAACATGTGGGACTACAGCTGACTACAGGGCATATTGGCTGGGGCTGAGGGAAGTTGGAGCCCCAACATCTGGAATGACACAGGTTAGCCCTGCCTAGGTTAACAACCAATGCAGATTCTCTAAGGAGGTGTAATGCGACTGTGGCACGTTGCGTCTGCCAATAGTCAGGCAGCAGCATTCTGCTCTAGCTTAAGTTTTCAGACTTGCTTCAAGGGCAGTAACTGGAAAGCAGGCACATCCGTCACCTCACCCACGTTTCCTTCTGTCAACAAAGTAGCATGGGCCATGGGACATTTCCATGGAGACAGGGAGATGAGGAACAAAAGATTGACTTAGAAGCCTGACATGACTGAGGAGTGCAGAAGGGTTATGTGTGTGACACGATCACAGCAAAGAATGTTTAATTAAGCAAGGGTGACACGAACAATCACTAGGAGTTAGAATACGGCAGGGAAGCAGGGATCAGTCTATTTCTGGCCTGTGTCAGTTTCACATAACCATTTCCCCCTCTTTTGGCATTAATCTGCAACTTATTTTCAGATCTTGACAAAAATTAATATTTAAATAAGTATTTCATCTAGATATATTTTATCCCAAAATATGAATTTTGGTACATGTTTTGAGCTGATAACTGTATAATAAAATTTGGACCAGGGCGAAAGCCAAAAGATGATTCTTTTCCAATCAGTGTACTGTATTTGTCTGGGAGGTGCAAATCTTTTGCTTAAAGATATGGACCAAATATAGTTCTCCTTCAAGGAATAGCTATGGTAGTCTTCTTCACCATACAGCACAAAAAAATGGTTTCTAAATCAGGTTTTAAAAATTGTGGTTTTGGGGTGTGTGTTTTTTTAAAGTACGTAGAAAGTCAATATTTTTTAAGTTGAGGTGGAGAACACTTTTGCCCTCCAAATGTGGCTGAGCTACAGCTGCCACAATCCTTGGCCATGCTTGTTGATGCTGATGCAACATCTGGAGGGCCAAAGTTTTTCCCATCCTTGCTCTAAGTCAACCAATACAACTGCCAACCTGCCTTCAAATCTCTCCTATTTGGCTATCATTTTTAAAATATATATATATAATAGCCTTTGCATGAAGTTACCACAAAGTTTGAATACAAGCGAAAACCCCACACTTGGAGATTAGAGTTCAAAATCTCCTGGTCACACTGAGCACAAGAAGGGATGAGCTTGCGATGGGCAGTGGAAAATTTGATTATATACGAACCAAGAAACATAACACACACTAACACACAAATGGCAATTTTATACCTGCGCTCTGTAATGTTTTCTATGTGATGTGGTCTTTCCTAAATGTAGAACTCTTGTATTTTTCTGTGGGTTTATATGCAGCAGGACTGACAGCTTTGAGGGTGCACGCTCAATTTTGTATAAACATTCTTGACAAGTTTTTTCTCCTCTTTCCAAAGGAGACAAGATGGATTAAAAAAAAAGTTAATGTCTCTCCATTTGGCTTGTTAAATGCATGTACAGTATTTGGGCAGCAAGTAAAGACAATTAAAGCCAGTTTTGAAAACTGTTTTGACTGCAAACTGTGTTTGGAAAAGTTGCGCCAGTAGTATTTCCAGTTCTTGACTACACGTTTCATGCATCCAGTACATGCACCCACGCAAATAAGCTCCAAAGGTAGGTGTTTGCATCAATTCACACTTGGTTTTAATAGTCTACCTTAATTCTTGCAGATAGATGTACGTGGCTGTGTGTACGCCACACTAAAGATGGAAGTGATTCATTCAACTTCTCCACAATATTATCCCACCTTCATTAATCCTTTCACACTGTTGTCATCAAATGGTTCAATGATCTTGCTTAAAGTTTCTTGCATCTGAAACATCTGCTTTAACACACGTTTTTAGCTTTGAAATTGTTTCCCCCCTTGCTGTGTTGTCAACCTGCATGCATTTGTTTTTCTGGAATTTGTGCTCTTTTATCATCTCCATTTAGGCAAGACTTCCACTTCTTTAAGGAAGCCTTCTTGCATTTGATTATTTATCCATCTAAAAAAAATTATAAACTGCTTAATGAAAGTACACCTGAGCAGCACAAACAAGACAATATAAAATAATCACAAGGCAGGTATCTAAAATAGTATAAGCAAGGGTGCATGCTTAATGTTAAGGGGCAGGAAGTTCAGAGTAATTGATGTTGCCATGATGAAGAGACTCTTGATAGACACAGAATCAATACTGTGTCATTTGTAAAATGTTTAACAGATTTACACTGAGGAATTTTACTTCCCTCCTTTTTAACTAGTCTCATGTTGAAGAAGTTTCTGTTTTGAAATTAGATGTGGCCATGGTGGACTTTCTAGATAATTGTCCACTTACACCTTTTCCTGGGAGGTTTTTCGATGCTTGCTTCACACGCCAGATTTCAGGTCCCTCAAAGCTTTTTAACTGCACAACTTTTCTTGTGACTCTTTAGTCTTTTGTTTCTGTATGCTCATTGCCAAAGTTCACCCCTCCCTAGTTTGAGGATCTGAAACACTTAACACCATCCCTAAAGGGTGAGTTTTCCCAAACCAGATTCTTCCAAGCAGACAGCTCCCTCCCTAAGAGGTCACTTAAAAACCCATAACATCTCCAAGTGAGTGAAGCCTGTCTCCTTCAATAAGTCCAACATGTCCCAAAATGTTCTCAGTGCTTACCAAATCTATGTCCTTCCTCCCAGCACCAGCCTCATTGTTAATTTGCTTGTCAGACCTTGTCCAGGCAGCGATAATGAAAGCAATGCCTTTGAGGTCCTGGGCTTAACATCCTAAAATTTGGCTGCCAGGACCTTGTAACTATATTTATGGGATTACAACACTCTAGGTGAGCCACCTTGGACTAAAGATAACAGATTTGAATTCATAAGAGCCAGAAGCTCACAGCACCAAGGACACATGCATGAGTTCTACCTAGCAGGCAAAAAAGCATACACAGGATGCTCCATGCAAACAAAAAAACCCCAAAAACCAATGCATGGTTCTGATTAGTTGCTGATTAGCAGAGACAACTGAAATTCACTCAGCATAAATGCTTAATGCATTTGGGTACATGTGTAGAAGTATTAAAATAATTTTAACACAATGAGTTAAGATAGAGAAACAAGGTTTCACTGCAATATTTTTATTAAGGAATTTACATATACACAAGGTAAAGTAGACAGAAGATGCCTAGCTTTCATTTATGCTTTCTTTCAAAACCACAGATTGGATATTCTTCCTCTGTGTAGTTGCTGAGGAAAGTCAGACCACCCCAGTCCCATAGTTTGTATTCCACCACTAAAACTTTCAGGCTGGCAAGTGTGTGTGTTACACAGGAAAACAAAAAAGTGCAAAAAAAGTGCAAGGAGAAAACTTGCCAGAGTCTTGGCCCTTTGATCAATTAGGTCATTAAAATGTAAAAGAAAGAAAATATTGGTGGGCAGGCGGGGAGAGGAGAGGTTGTTTAAATAGGTTGCCACCACTGGTGGTTAGAAAGAAGAAGCAGTTGTTTCAAAGTGGCGCCAATTTCACCCCATCTTGTTCACAGTTCCAGAAAAAAAGATTTGTGCTCAGGGGCTTCATGGGAATTCTACCAGCTCCAGGGTAATAAATTCCAAGCTCATGAAAGGTGGAACTAGTTCTGGAAAACTCCATAGTGTGTGTGTGGAAATGGAATGTTCAGTAGAAAAAAGGCAAAAGGATGAAGGCAAGATAACTTTTTTTTTTGGTATGGGGGAGGGGGGAGAAGAGATCGTAAACCTCAGAGAAGGGGCCTGATTTCTGAAATACAGGCCACCTCCCACCTTATGTGCACGCTCACATAGTTTAAAGAGCCAAGATAGTGAAATATCCAGTTCCATCATCAGTTCCATGGATGTGGAGTTGGAAAGCAGCAGAGAAGGTTTCCCTTATTACAGGGAAGGTCCAGCCAAGATCACCAGAATGGAAAGCAAAACCTTAAAATAACCTCAGGGAGCAACTTTTTAATAATGCGGAAAACAAACAAACAAACAAAAACCCCTCAAACAAGAAAACAGAAGCAAAGGAAGAAACAAAAGGTCCAAAATCCTGGTGTATTATTTCCACACCTGGGAACTGAGGGTTTGATTGGTTCCTTGGGCCCCTCCTCTGCCCATAGACTGTCCATAGCCCACCATTCCATTTGTGCCATAGAAGTTCATCCCAGCCATCTGCTGCGTCATCTGAATGAGAGAGAAGGCAAGAAATTGGTCAGAAGGCCCATTCTACAATACCAGGGATGAGGAACCAGTGAGCCTCAAGATGCTGTTTGACTACAGCTCCCATCAGCAGTGACCAGCGTGGCCGATAACCAGGATGATGGGAGTTGGAGCCCAGCAACTTCTAAATTAGCCTTCGTCAACCTGGTACCTTCCAAATGTTTTGGCTGAGAACTCCCATCACCCCTGACGCTTAAGCCGTGTTGGCTGAGGCTAATGGGAGTTTCAGTCCAAATCATCCGGAGGGTATCAGGTTGGAGAAGGCCGGTCAGGAGTGCTGCAGAAGATACTCATCCCTGTCCTACACATACCTCTTAAATTTCCTGCTCTGTAAACAGATTTCAGCTGGCTATGACACCTTTGCTGCTCTCATTTTTCTGGACTTGCTAGCATCTAGGTCCAATAACCAGTTGCTAGTGACCATGGTGGTTCTCAGAATGGACTTAATGAGGTTCCACAATTTCTTATCCTTTACAGGGAGGTCATGATTGTTATGAAAAATATCCATTTTCAGAATATGTTGGCAACTAACTCCATGGCTTACTGCTTGGCGTTCTGATGGATTGAACGCCACAGGAGCCTGATGTTCTGTCTCTGGATCCAAACCATCCAAGAAGGCGGCTGCCTCTTTGCTTAAGAGAGGCAGAATGCCTTCTTGCAATGCCCAGCCTTGAGCAAAGGCCAGACATCACATGTGCATGGTAGGGCTGAGCCAAATGAAGCTTCATCAGGCTCAGTCCCACCCCCAACACACAGACAGCAATGTTTTGAGGGGACTGTGAAATAGTTCTTAGCGAGCCCTGTAGCTATAAAAGGAAGCAACCAATGTATTCTAATGTATTTCATTTGCCCTTCACCACATCAGCACATAAGAGATGTGATGTCATCACACACCGTACATGATCCCCAATTGGCTGGGATTATGGGGGTGGGGGGAGGCTACTGAAGCAGCAGAAGAGGGAAAACAAGCAGTAGGTTAGTTAAAACCCTGCATTTCCCTCCATATGTTTTAGTTAGGGCTACCAGGCTATTGAAGGATTCAGTGAGCATATTACCCAAACCTCTACAGTGGTACCTCACGTTACATATGCTTCAGGTTACAGACTCCGCTAACCCAGAAATAGTGCTTCAGGTTAAGAAATTTGCTTCAGGATGAGAACAGAAATCGTGCTCCGGCGGCGCAGCGGCAGCAGGAGGCCCCATTAGCTAAAGTGGTGCTTCAGGTTAAGAACAGTTTCAGGTTAAGAACAGACCTCCACAACGAATTAAGTACTTAACCCGAGGTACCACTGTATCTCTCAATCCCAAAAGGCACCTATATGAGAGACCCTATTTTAGTATCTCATTTCATTCCCTCTTACAAGTAGAACACAAGAGCCAGAAAAGCTCACCCACCTCACCCTGTTTAACTCCCAGCCTCCATTTGTTTCAAGCATTTCATTTAAGAAACTTTGAGAAGTGTTACACAGAGAACTACCTATATAATGAGAATACACAAAAAGTGAGAGGCAATTTTATTTGTCAACTACCGTACTTTTCTGTGTACGTACTTTTTGGGGGAGGACTGCCCACAGTTGTTGAGCTTTTTTTTGTGGGTGGGGAGCAAGAGTTGTTGAGCTTTTTTAAAGGCGGAAATGCCAAAAAATCGACCGGCCATTTGCTGCAGCGACAGCCAATCAACAACAGCCCTTGCAGCAGCCACCAATCACAATCTACAACTTGTGGCAACGACCTATCCCATGGCCCCACAATGCACTATCCATGTATAAGACGACCCCTAATTTTGAACATGATTTTGGAATAAAAAAAGATAGTCTTATACACGGAAAAGTACAGTAACTCTACTGACTAAAAATCGCTGCATCATTTCAGGCTTCCCCTCACTCATCCTTGATCTCCTGTATCCCCACACCCATTTCTCAGGCTGTCCAATTCGTTGAAAAAAGAGCAGACTAGAAATGTAAAAACCAAATTCTACATTATCTGTAAGAGCAGGCAGCTTGTTTTTGTGGGAAGCAAGAGAGCTTGCCCCATGCCCAAAGGAGTTATGCAGCAGCCACCCTTGCCCCCAATGCCCCCTCTTACCTGGGCAATATTCCACTGTAACTGCTGTGCTGGTTGCACCCCATATACGGGGGGTGGGACGGGTGCCATGCCAGCCACGTACCCAGCCTGCTGTGCTGGCATCATCCCATTGGGGACGCCGATGACTGCTGTCTGCATGCCGCCTACGTAACCCGCTGGGATCGCCATGGGTGCCACCATGCCAGCTGCTCCCTGCTGTGCCATCACCCCAACTGGTGGTGCCATCATGCCACCCATCATGCTGCTGGGGGGTGGCATGCCTGGAAAACTGGGGTATGCTGCAGGGTACCCCATTTGGGCTGGGGTGATGAACACAGCTCCTAGATGAGATTATAAAAAAAAAGGTGTTAGTGCTGAAGGGAGTCCTGGGAGGAGTCTGGGTTATTTCGATTTCTCTGCTGACATGCTGTCTTTATGCCTGACGATCCAACAAGGCAGCCTTTCTTTTCTATGGGCATCAGAGTTTGACATTTTGTGTGAGTCACACCGATTGTAATCAAGAAGCAAGGTTGGGAATTGGGGGTGGGGCAAGAGGAAGAGACAATCACCTCTTTGCATATGCACATCCAAATCAGGAACTAACCTTGGGACGAAAGACTAGTAATGCATTCCTCCTCTGCAGCCTAGAAAAGTGCTCTCAAAGGGTGTGAATGACGTAAAACAGTCTGTGATGATGGAGACAGGGAGTGGGAGGAGGAGAGTGCAACTACTTCTTTCGCATGCAGCGTGGTGAAGCAGTTAACAGTGTCAGATGAGGGCTGCATCAGAATGCTAGCCACATAACTGCTATCCAAATACAGGATATCAAACTAAATCCGATGCAGTGTAGACCCTTTTCAGCTGCTGTCCCTCCCCCACTGCAAATGGCTGTAGAATGCTCTCCCCAGCAAGGACTGCCTGGACTAGGTGCCAAAATTAATAACTTTTTGGTGCCCAGTTACAAAGTATCTCTTCTTCCAGGCTTTCGATAACCATGCTTAATGCTGTTTTGGAAGGGGGGCGTAGGAGAGAGAGCACACTGCTTTATTGCTAAACTTCACGGAGATTCCACCCCCCCACCTAGAGATGCTTTGTACTGGATGGTCAATAAATCAAACAATAAGTCCATCAATTTCTACTATTAAATTGCCTAACTCGTGATTTCAGTGGGCTTATTCGGAGTATGATTAACATTAGATATCACCACAGCATCTAGGAGAAGCACTTTACTTGCCTGTCATAGCCCCAGCAACATGAAAAAACCAACATAAAACATTGACACAAACTCTTCAAGAAAACCAATTGCATATTCAACAAGCCTTCCTAGCTTTACCATTAGAACATCTCCATGACAGTCTACCAACTTGAACAAAACCTTTCCTAAATTTAGAAGCTGCACCAAACAATGCAACTTTATGCTTCAAACCCAGCAAATGAGTTAACCACTTACAAAATTATTCTCTACTGGTTACATTCATTCGCCTTCCCCAAATATAGCATTAGCGATAACTGGCCACAGGATCTTTCCCCTACCCTTTCCATCCCTCACTGGGTACCTTGTGCAGGCATTTGTGGGGTCTGGGAGCCATATAAGGAGAGGATAGAATCCTTTGAGAGCTGCTTCTTCCCCATTTCTTCTGACTTGCTTCCAGGCTCTGGGAAAAGGTTCAGGTTTTCAGGAACAGAACCAGCACTCCCAGCTGTGGGCATAGAGCCAACAACCTGGCAAGAGAATGTACCATGTTTATTCCCAATGGTGGAGGGAGGGAGAAAACAAGGGATACAGCATTCTCCCTAAACATTCAAAAGCATTTCACAAAAATATTTGAGATACTGTATCTCATTCTCTGTGACCAAAAAGGTCCTCAAGGTAATGCACAACAAACCAATTTACAGTCCTTACACAGCAGCCCTGAATGGTAGGACAATATTGCCATTCCCATGCAACAGATGAAAAGCGGAGGACAAAAGAAAAGTGGATTTGCTGCTCTTTGAAATCTCAGCCAGATAGTCCATCAGGGACAAATAAGAGCAGACAGACAATGGAGAGAAAGATGGTCAACAGCTCCACAGTCGGCCTCTAGCTTTTTCTGCCTGCCTGAGAGGATCTTCAGAATTCTCAAGAGGAAGAGCCTGACTTGCACAGGGTTACCTGTTAAGTAATGTGTAACCAGAATCTAGTTACAGTGGAACCTCGGTTGTAGAACGTAATCCGTTCCAGAAGACCGTTCGACAACCGAGGTGCAATTGCCAGTCAGCAAATTCCTTTAAAAAATGGGGAAATGCGCCTCAGAAGCCTTTTGACTTTTGAGCCGTGTTCGAAAACAGCAGCATTCACTTCCGGGTTGTCAGCATTCGGCTTCTGAAGTATTCGACAACCGAGGTTCTACTGTATATGCAATTCACCACTGATGTTGCAATCAAACACTGAAAACAGAACATGTCAGCCAAGCTTTCTTTGCTACTCAATTTGATTTAACAACAGTGAGATGCAACAATATACAAGCATTTGGAAGCTGGCTGCAAGGGTACACCAGCTCATCAACATGAATCTTCCTCCTCCTTTCATACATGGGCTATTGGGTATTCTACTTTTCTCACCTTCCTCTCAGAGGTCATGGAGGCAAACAGGTCCAAGTCCTTCTCTAAACAGCTACTTGATCTGCCATTGGGGAGGGTCGTTGAAACAGGAACATCTGGAAAAGAGGAATGTAATGGGAACAGCCTGAAAGGGGGGCTAACTAATCCAAATCCAGTAGAAATCCACTGGTGGCCAGCGGCCCAATCACCAGCTGGCCCGCCACTTGCTTGGGCCTTTTGACCCCAAACAACAAGATGTATCAAATCCCTCTAGCTATATGAAAATTGTGCAAATTAGGGTGAGTTCTCTCAACATGGATTATATCTGTTGCCTGTGTTCACATGGAGGGCAAGGAGCTACACAGAGCAAAGTCCCATCACCTAGACCAAATGAAATCCCATTCAGCCTCCCCATTACCTCTGGCTTCCAAGGTTTCATCAGGCATTGCTCACACATGTACAAGTGTAACTTGGCAGCTATGCTGGCAGCAGGTGGTGGATTTATGGCCCTCCAGATGTTGTTGGACTCCCAACTCCTGTCAGTCCCAGCTAGAATGGCTAATGGCCAGAGATATTGGGAGTTGGGAGTCCACTTGTGTCTGAAGGGCCACAGGGATTCACCATCCCTGCCAGAGGGGCTACAAATTTGATTTAATTTTTTTACATGAAACGTAAGATTCTTAGGAAGCTGAATTTTACTCCATATACTGTAATCTATGCAGGACTTGGGGAAGACACAAAGCATTGGCTTCAGGATATAAAAGGAGAAACTGCCACAAACATTAGTGCTGCCCATCCACACACACACACACCCCACCAGCCATCTATCTTTTTTTGAAAAAGGCAGGCTGGAATTGTCATGATCTCCACCCTAAACTAGGCACCCACCACTAACCCAACCCCAATGGCTCATGGTGTATATTAATTTGGGCCACGGTGTCCTTTAAACCAAGCTACGCTCTTCACTTTGCTGATGCTGCAGAAGCAACTGAGACCACAAGCTCTGTTGCAGTGCTGGGTAGCAGCTGCAGCTCAGAGAAGACTCAATTCGGTGATTTCTGCTGCAGAGGCAGAATTTCAGTACCTCAAAGGATTTGTTCCTGTGCCCCGGCCCCCATCAGGGGACAACTCATGGGGAGCAAAGGCAGAATATTACATGCCACATAATCTGGAAAGAAGAGAGCAAGTGCAGAAGGGAGAGTAATGCAGAGAGCAATATCTGCAGCTGTTCCTTAACCTTATTAAGAGGGAGGTGAGCTGCTGCAGCCAGGATAAGAGGAATTTCATGCATGGCTTGCAGTTTTGCTTTGTCGTCCCCCTCCCTTAAATGTTTCATCATCTTTAAAGAGTAACAGTGAGATGGGCTGGGATCTAAACCTTGGTGCCAGATAGAACTGTGTGAGCTGCAGAAAACAGAAGAATAGAATATCTAATTCACTTTCAGCTCAAAGGCAGCCCTACACCAACAGTCTAGCTCAGTAAAGCCTACTCCGACAGGCAGCAGCTCTTCAAAGTTTCAGGTAGAGAGAACTACTGTGCTGGAAGCCCTTTTGATAGGGCATGCAAGGGACTGAACCTGGGGTCTTCTGCATGCCAAAGCACCTGCCAGGTTATGGGTGTGCAAAACCCCTATGCAAAAGCACAATGATGTAGAGGCAGAGGCAAGTTATACTACACTGGAGCCCACCACCCAGGCAGGTCACAGAATCCTATTGCCAATGGTGTGATCCATGCTGCCAAGAGGCCACCTGCCAGGAGCATGCTCACCTGAGGGAACCTGAAGCACCCCTTTCTGCACAGGTATACCTGCAAATCCTGCCTAACAATCTGCTTTGCAATCTACCAAAGCGACCAGATCTCTGTAGGCTCTTCCAATGGGTGGAAGTAGATCCAGGAACGTCTACTGAAAGGTAGAGGTAGCACTGAAACACCCCAAAGGATTTGTTGCTGTGGCCTCTCTAGGGAGCAGCACTTGTTATTTCTGCCTCCTCTTACTCACGAATGCCTAGTTTTAATACCACACAGAGTATGACATCACCTTGCTGTGCTCTTCTCCACCCACACTGCTGACTGGCAATGGTGCAGGCAGGGGAAGAAGGCAAGAACAACGATGTTGCGTTTTATGTTGTGTTCAAAGTGGCTCTTTTGAGGAAGGCAGTCCCAGGAGTGTGGGAAGGGAGACAGACTGAGCCATGGGCTCTCTTGGAACACCCAGTCTCATTCCTGAGTGTTTCAGCAAATGTCGTTTATGCAGTTCCATTTCAGTCAAGGATGAAGAATGAAGGATTAAAAGGTTAGGCCAGAGTCTTTATAGGAGAGGTTGGTCTTGGAACTTTGAAGGCAGTGATTTTTATGCTTCACTGAAACACAGAAGTATAGCACAGAAAGCTGCCTTATACAGAGATAGGTAATTGGCCCATCTATCTCAGCACTGTCTGCAGTAGGGGTGGGGAACCTTTCTGGCTTGGTGGGTCAGAAATTTATTCCCACCCATCATGTGCTCCAATTTTAACAGGTGGTTGGGACCACCCACCTCTTAAAGTGGGGAGAGATAGCGAGTGACCAGTAGGCTTGAACTCCCTACACATCAACGGATGAGCAGGAAATTCAATCCTGCTTTCTTCAGGTACACAAGTGAGTTCCCAGCAAAGAACCCGTTTGTGCACCCAAACCAAACAGGATTGGTTCCTGTGTTGATGCATTGCAGAGGATTCTGGGTGACACACAGTTCACACAGGGGTAGTGCAGGGCCTGACTCTACATAAGCTTGGGAGCATACAACAACACACCATATGCTCCCCCACATCTCACACTGGCAGAGGATGGGCAGTAAAATCAGGCACAAGCTGTCTTTCAAAGAGGCTTGCCTGCCATGTGTGTTTTCCTTATGGATAAAAGCCCTTTGTTCAAGGGAACACAAGAGTGGACAGAATACCCTGTGGCAGCTATTTAACCTGTTTCCAGCACCTACAGTGTGTGTTATCATGTACAGAACATGACACCAAGGTGCATTTGGACAAAGAAAAAGCTCCAAAGAGCACGTAACCTTACCAAGTCCCAGCAAGTCCATGACGGGCTCAGAAGATCTGGAAGGACTTTTCCTGGCATGAGAGTCGTCTTTCTTCTGAGGCTGAGCCAAATAGAGTAAAAAGCCCCTCAGTTACTTTGTTGCAGATTTCGCCAATCTGGTGCCCTCCAGACGTTTTGGACTACATGCTGGCTAGGGCTGATGGAGGTTGTAGTCCAAAACATCTTGAAGGTACTAGGTTGCCAAATGTTTCCTTCACATGTTGTCAAAAGCTGCCTCCAGTTTGAAAAGCTTTTTCAAATGTTTGGAGGCTGTTTGAAAAGCAGAAAATAAACCTACTAAGTAAATTGGAGACAAGCAATATGGAGCACTCTAGCTGTTGTCAGACTACAACTCCCATCATACCTGACTACTGGGCCATGCTGCCTGGGAGTTGGAGTCCAACAACATTTGAAGGGCATCTGGTTGCCTACTACCAAAGTAAAAGAACACATGCTAGTTCTGTACATAAAGAGGGTTTACCCAAATTCCCAACAAAAAACAAAACAAAAGATACACGGAGCATAAAATTACAGTCCCAGATGTTAACACGCCCCCATCTGTCCATCTGAAGTTCAGGAACAACCACACACAGCAGAAGGAAGGGTTGTCTTACCATTTTCACTTTCTCAAAGATTATTGGCTCCAGCTTTTTCCCTGAGGCTATCTCTTTTTTCCATTTGTCATCCTTTTCTCTCTGTGTATACAATCAAATGAAGCAGTGAGAGAGTGAGGAAGGTAGCTGAACATGACATTGTCTTTTCCAGGCCAGTGGGACAGAAAGCCCAGCTGGTCTGGCAAATGTAAAACCCCTTAAACCACCACACTTCCCCAACAAAAGCAAAGCATTCCTAGTTTCCAGCCATATTACATCAGAAATGGGACATGTGTTGGTGCTTATTCCCTTTCAACTTCTCCAATTTGCAAGAGGACACAGTAGCCACATCTGGCTGCTGAGCAAATGCAAAAAAGGTTCAGCTAGTCTAAAGTCCCAGTGTGCTGACCAAGATGGCAGCCTCTGGCAAGCTCAACTGGATTTTTTTTTTGGGGGGGGGGAGGTGAAGAACTCTCATCCTTTCTACCATAAAAGGACAATTTAGATGAAAATTCTTCCAAAACCTGGGCCACCAACAGTTTGGCTGTTTCATGCTAACAAATTAGTCCAGATTATGGCTTTATACTCTTGAATTTATACCACTGCTTTGTATGCAGCAGATCCCAGATTCAAATCCAGGGATCTTGGGAAGCCAGACTGGAAAAGACACCTCTCTGTCTGAGGTCTTACACTAGGGGTAGTCAGTGTGGCTCCTTCCATGCTTTGGACTACAACTCTCATCATCCCCAGCTGGCACAAGGTAATGGAAGTTGTAGTCCAAAACATTCAGAGGGCATTATGCTGGGGAAGGTTGCCTTAAAAGGAGCACTGCCAGTCAGAATGAACAGGACTGGGTTAGATGGGACTTAATGGACATCATATATTCAGGATGCAGCAAGCATTCTAATGCATTTAATACTTACTCGCAACACGTTGATGTCGAGGCTTCTGTCAATGTACTTCTTCTTTTCGTATTTGTCCCTGATAAAGCCCTCCACTGCTCTGCACGGATGTCAGTTAAAGAAGAACAAGGAAGGGTTGACAGCTTGTGCACAACATGGTTAGGTAGCAGCAAGATTGCAGCACAAACTAGACCTCTGTCATGGCATGGTTTGACCCACACCTTCTCTATTCTTGTTGAAAAGGTAGACACTGTGACCACCAGGATCCTTGGCTCAGTTGCTATAGCTGTGCTTGCCAGCCAAGACCAGCAGAGGTGGTGACAGTGCCTTACTCGTATGAGCTACAGGACATGTGCAGAACCAGCAGCAACCCAGTGCCTTTTATGGGGCTTTCGCCTCCAATCTACCTAGACTGTGGTGGGGATACCATTTTAAGCCCAATAATTACATTCCCGTCTGGGCAACCTTCTGAGGGCCACATGACAGTGGCAGATGAGGCCAGAGGCAAAGGTGGGCAGAACAACAAATGTTTTTACTTTTGTATGGTAGGCTAGTTTTTACACACACATCCCTCTCTATCCTCCATCCAAGCCAGAAGCATTATCCAAGTTCAAGTGAATGTACCAGCTGGGCAAAAACGCTCAGGGTGCAAGCAGAGGTGGTGTGGCCTGGAGGGAGTCTGAGGGCTAGACAGAAGGGCTGCATTAGTCCCCTGGGCCTGAGCTTGACAATTAGAAATGCAGAGGCCATAGCCTTGGAATGCGCAACACACGCCAAGATTTTTGAGCGAATGCTGTGCACCACCCACTCCAGTCAGTTCTCTCTTCCCTCCCTTTGATCAGCCCCCCTGCCTTGCAGAGAGACACACACACTTCGCTTTTCCAAGGAATCTTGGATACAGTATAATTAAGCTGAGCGTTAAAAAAGCACCTAGAAATGAAAGAGGAAGTGAGAAAACACCACTCTTCCAACTCCAGCTCTATGGACTTTTCATGGGTGAGAAAAGTAACCACCCTCACCATCTCATGACCAAGGGGGATTTATAGGAATACGGCTCAAAGGTGGCATGGGTGCCAGGGGAAGACCTCAAAGGCACAACTGCACCAATGGGCACCATGGTAGCAACCCCCCGTTTGACCCGGTGGGAGTGGGACCAAGATCATGACTGCAGGGAGAGGAGAGCACATGAAGTTTCACCACCTGTTTTGCTGGCCCTGCATTCAAGACCCGTAGTCACAAAATGGGACAAACCCGCAGCATCCGTCTGCTTTGCTGTGGGCAGTCACCCCTCTAGCAACAGCACCTTCTGCAGCCTAATTTTCCAAAAAGTGCCAAGTAACAGAGAGGCCTCAATGAATACAGACTCTAACAAATATTTTAAAAAGTTATACATTCCATTTAAGGTAGACTTCTGCTCCCTTCAAAAGTATGCATTCAGAGATTAGTGAGATTCCCTCCATGCAACAAAGTCTTAGCATCAATATGCTGGGAGAAGAGAGGCAGAGGAAGGATACTGGTCCGTCTGAGGTCGCCTGAAGTTCTCCGGAAGGTAAGCTTCATAGAGGCGATTTGCTTTGCCATTCCCCATCTCCTGCATGCACTGGAACAGAAGCAAGAAACCTTCAATAATAGCATGGAATCGGGTGCTACCAGTTAGGCTATTCTTGCCATTGTTTCACTTTGAGCATAAAACATTTTATGGAACCCAGAATGCAGGAGTATCACAGAGCTTGCTCTGTGCTGGCATGAAGGAGATGAGAGTTTTCAAAGTCTGCCAAAGCAGTTTCTGAAAGGTGCTCCTACACCAATCTGCAGAGTCATCGGTAATGGTGACTTAGTTAATTCATGTCCTCGATTTCTGACAGATCAGCAGAAAATGGCTGCAGCTCCTAATGGCTACAAAGAGCAGTCTTCTTGCAGTTTTTGTTCTTTCAACAAGGAACACTTTTTGCTTTTGCAACAGGACAGATTTATTTTAATTCTCCTCTCCTTCCAAAGTGGATGCCTGATATATTCTCAAGTGCCTGCATCTGTATTTGTCTTGCCCATTCACATCGCTGCCTGCCTCAAACTTTCCACAGTTCAGCTTTCCTTGGACTATGCCACTTTTTCAGCACAGTTATTCAATTTTAATTTTTATTAAAGTCAAGTCAAGGAACAGAGAACACTGCCAGGAATACATTTGCAATTATTCTTAAGTACTTGTGAGAGAGAAGTTCATCCTCACTCACTCGAGTTAGGAATATCAACTGAAGTACAGATTGGGCAGGGCATTGTAATACTGATGGTTTGATTCAGGCTGGATAATTTTGTTTGGGTCTAATACAACCATCTCTTTCTCTTTTTTACTTTCTACAGAGTGTGTAAGCACTGCAGCAAGCATAGCCTGATTTGCATAACACAATGATGTCCTAGATCTGAAGCACACTGATAAAAAGCAAGAGCTGAACTGCAGAGCATGTCAATGACAATCTCTGAGTAATTGCACACAAGCTCGATTTACTCTTGTTCAGACTCCTCTCCTTAAGGAGCACTACCTACCAGATCCCTTCTGGAGGGCAGACTTCAGGCTTGCTGGATCTGCTTTGGTTGGCAGCTCTTGGGGTTCTAAGCAAAAAACAGAGCTACACTCCAGCACAAAGCTATGCTCCAGCACATGAGTTTTCTAACTATTGGAGGCAGGGAGTGGGGGGAAGGTTGCATGGAGGAGCACCTGAGTAGTCCAGGCTCACGTTTTCCCTTCTCATCTGCCATTTGAGAAAAGAAGGCCAAGGTTCCCCATATTAATATAAGCAGAGATACAGAACTGCAGAGGAGAAGCTGAATGGTCCTCAAAAATGAAGCCCACATACAAGGAAGATAGTTTTTTGTTACTAACCTGTATTTGCTCTTGTGTCCATTGGTCCAGATTGACAGATTTTACCCGGGATATGTGGACACCCAGGTTCCTGTGGATTCCGGCGCAACGTATGCAGATGAAAACACCAATATTCCATGACGCCCATCTTGGCCCTGCAAAAGTACAAAGGAAGTGGTCACAGGAGCACTTCTGAGCATCAAGCTAGTTATGATGGGCTCTGCCCTGAAAACTGCTGCAAGCCAGGCAGGGGCTGAAGAGTTTCCATCTGCAATGTAGGCTGGCTTTAACACATTCATTACCAAAGGTCACAACCATGCTGGAGAAACGAGGGATTGGGAAAGAATCTGACCATGCTTTCTATCTTAAAAAACAGGCACAGGACTGGAGAGGTGGGGGACAAAACAGGTGCAGGCAGGAAAAGACAGTTTCATTTTTTAAAATTATTTAACAGGTCCAAAAATCTGTCTATCCCAACCACATTGACTAGGAATCCATAAGAAAAGCATGAGTTTCAGAGCACCATCTTAGAACAAGAAGAAGCATTCTTTTTCAAAGGCAGGAGTGGAAGATTTCTCTGTATGCAAAGGCCTCTGCATAAATCACAGGGCGAAGGACATTGTACACTTTCTAGACATTGCTCCCATCTGCACTTAGGTCTGGTTTACACATGTGAAGAGACTGAGGTGCAGACTGCAGGTGAGGGGGATGCACCTCATTAAAAAAAACTTGCTGCAAATCTGCGATTTCGGAGCCCCCGCCCAAATATGAATTGAGTTTCATTCATTGCAAAGCCAACCACAACTCTTTCCCACACAAGCCAGCTAGGAAGCCCACTGCAGAGTAAGAGAGGAGTCACTACACAAGGCTGCACAGTGCTGCTCACTTTGTTCATGTGCCCTTGAAACTGAATAATCAGCTGCTTTGAATACAACCAGCGGTGTGGGACAGAAACGGTTTCTCGCCTACGCTGCTTTGCACAGGCAGATCCTTAAAGGAATAGAATCGCAAGTCTTCAAGTCCAGCCACAGAGGCAGTTGAGTGCAGCAGTATTGGGAAGGGCTGCAATTCAGTGGCAGAGCATCTGCTTGGCATGCAGAAGGCCCCAGGTTCAATTTCTGGCAACTCCACATAGGACCAGGAAAGACTCCTGCCTGAAACTCTGCAGAGCTGCTGCCAGTCACATGATATAGTTACACCTCACTTTTCTTGCTGGCTCTACATTTATGTCTTGCTTTTCCCATGGCTGTCTTAAGCATATGCAGCGCCGGGGTGCAAAGATCTGCCCAGCGCCCCTCCCCCAGGTTGCCTAGTCCCAGGCGCGCAGGAGGGCAGAGCCGGTCGGACGGCCACCTCAGGGCCTCGCAGGCTTGGTCGCCCCCAAACTCGCACCACAGCAGCAGAGCCCGCCATGGTGCTCTGACCAATGGGCAGGCTCTTGCCTGGACTCAACTCTCGGGCCCTGGACTCTCGGCCTGGCACTCCTGAGAGCCTGGTGCCTGAGTGCCCTGCACCCCTAGCGCCTATGGGTAAGACTTTTCCTTCTAGGAGCTCAAGACTGTGTACATTTTTCTCCCCTCCCACTTTTTATCTTCTCAGCAGCCCTGTGAGATAGGCCAGGCTAAAATAAGCAGCAATAGGTTGCTGATTCCTGCCAATAGGTTGCCTAGCTAGGGGGAAGATGCAGGGGGTTCCAGTGCTGTTGGCATGCCTGCACCCGAAACCTCAGAGGCCAAAGAAGTCAAGCGTTTGAATGAAAAGAGAACCTAGGTAACCACATATTATAAGTTATTTTTAGCCCTGAAAGTTAGCTAGGAATCATTTAGGGTTAGGTCTAAAGTCCCTGTTATATTTAGCATTTACTTTGTTGGAAAGGATTAGTAATCTAGATAAAGCCTTTCATCACCTTGAGGGTTAGCACCAACTGATTCACTACAGCTCTAGCCTGCGCTAAGAGATGCAAATGCTGGAAACATCTGACCCCCCCCCCACTTCTCTCCCCCCTTCATTGAGACAGTAGATGGGGGACATACACCAATTCAGAATATCATGCTGGTAGGGAAGATTTGTTTTTCATTTCCACCACCTGTATGCACAGTTCCATTGAAAAAGCTTAAGCAGACATAATGAAAACATTAATTGTTTTAATTGTGTCCTACTATTAAGAGCCAATTTCCAGTTTAGCTTCTTGGCTTCTGCAGGCACAAGAGTCAAAACTAAGGGAGAGATCAACTGCCACCAACTAAGTTGATTTTAAAGGTGTTTTCTTCCCTATCCTTCACAATCTAAAACAGGAAGTCTGTTTTATTTTTTCATTTCTGTTTTATAAATTATGTAAGGGCAGCTTTGAAGGTGCTGGATAAAAAAACAGTATCTAAAGCTATTCAGTAAATCAATATATACATAAAAGGGGCTTCCGCCCCCCAATATCTACTATCTCTGAACCTACAATCAGCAACGGAGGCCTCGTTGGTGGTGGCACCACAGCTGGGTGCTGCCCTCTTGGCATTAACCCATGATAGGGCTTCCTCTGTGGCGTTTCCCTATCTGTGCAAAACCATCTCTGGTGAGGTGAATTTTGTCTCCCTCATTATTAACATTCAGGCAGAATTTTAAAAGCATTCCTGCTCACCCAGGCAGTTGATGGTTGAAACGTGCTGTTCCTGGCAACTTTGAAATTATTAGCTATGAGGGTATGCAACTGTAATAAATAAATTAAATATATTTTTATCCCTCCCTTCCTCCCAATGGAGCCCAGGATAGCAAATAAATGTTTTTAATACTCTTAAATTTAATTTATTTTAAATTACATTACAGTGGTACCTCGAGTTATGAACTTAATTCGTTCTGGAGGTCCGTTCTTAACCTGAAACTGTTCTTAACTAGAGGCGTGCTTTCACTAATGGGGCCTCTTGCTGCCGCTGCACCACCAGCACACGATTTCCATTCTCATCCTGGGGCAAAGTTCTCAACTCGAGGTAACTCTTCCAGGTTAGCGGAGTTTGTAACCTGAGGCATTTGTAACTCGAAGTACCACTTAATACCAAAATAGGCTTTAATTATATTGCGTTGCCACTCTGCTTGCCACCCTGGGCTCCACTTTGTTTGTCCACCCCAACCCACAAGCTCACAAGCAACAAATGCACAAACCACTGGACAACAAGCCAGACTTTGGAGAAACAAAACCATGGCCAACACCACCACTGTGAATGCTTGGGGAAAGCGTGACATAAAATACAAAATTTATAACCGCCAACCCCTTCCTCTCCAGTGTCGATGCATTTTCATGACTCCATAGAATTACTTGAAATCTACAACACAGAGGTCTTGAGCAGGGATGGAGAACCTTTTTCAGTCTGGGGCCGCATTTACTCATGGGCAACATTCCAGAGGCTGCATGGCAGTCAAGAGTGAAGCAATATTAGTATGGCAGGCCACATTCCAGCCACACAGAAGTCATAGGTTTCTATAGAGACATCCATTTCTCCATCCAGGTATGCTAGAGGCATCACTACATTTCAGAGACACATTCCAGGCAGGCCAAAGCACTAGAGGATGGAATGAAGCAGACCCAGTGATGCTCATGACCTGCAAATAGCCCTGGAGAGCTGCATCTGGCTCTTGGGTCGAAGGCTGCCCACCCCTGTTTCAAAACACAAGAAGCAAGGAACATCACAGTATCCAAGAGAAATGCCCGAATAGGATTAACTAGGCTATAGGTGTGCAGGCTTCAGTGGGCTGGGAAGTGGAGAAAGATTTCTATATAAATAAAACATTAGCAGAACACAAGCAGCTCTGCCTGCCAGCTCCACCATGAAAGCAACTTAAAAATGCACAAATGAAACAGCAACTGTACTGCCAACCTCTCATGGTGCTGCACAGCACTAAAAATGCATGTATGCTGGAACTTTGGTGTGAGGGGAAGTGGAAGACGGCACAATTTTTGTCTGGATGTTATGGAAAGTATGTACCTCCTCTTGTTGGGACAGGAGAACAGCCAGTAAGGATATGATTGAAACCAAGTTGGATTGTAGGCTTAATCTTGAGGGCTTCCCAACAACATTCAAGCCATGGCTGTGGAAGAATCCCTTAGTAGACTGTCTTCCTAACAAAAAGGGATTCTAATGTCTGCTGCTAAGGAACAATTAAATTGGCTTTGCATCCCTACTGCTAAGCTCCTGTGCCTTGAAAAGACCCAAGTGTCCAAGAGAAAAAACAAAATTAGCAAGTTTCTTAACATGTTTCTCCAAAAACAGTGTGTACAGTCACCTTCCCAAAACTGGGGCCTCCAGATATTTTGAATCCAGCCAATTACAGCCAATAATCAGGGGTGATGGAAGCAGTGGTTCTGGAGGGATCCAGGTTGGGGAAGCCTGGTGTAGAGAACTCTGTTATTCCAAGAAACAGCTTTTTACGCTGTGAAAGATGCACATTTTCCCTATACCTTAAATCAAAGTAGCAGCAACAATTCAGATATTAACCAAAGGCTATTGCAGGGGGTAAATATTATCCTACAATTTTATGATCTCAAATACTCATCATGTTTTCCAGGGCAAGTCAAGAAGGGGGAAAGAAAACACTGTTAGGCCTTCAAATGGAACGAATCCCAAAGGCACAACTGCATATATAGAAGAGGGAGGGAAGGGAAAGTTGTTTAAATTGTGGGTTGTGCCAATTTACAATTTTGAGTGGTTTTAAAGGCTACAATGGGTTGTTTTAAAGGGTGGCTGATCCACCACTGGAGCAATAAACTAGGGCCTTTTCTCCATTTGCCAGAAAAAAATTCAAATATATGAAGGTCCAGCAGAAAGTTTAAGCACATACCTAATTCATACTTAGGAGGAATGAGCCTTCAGGGTCAGATATCTGACCCCAAGTAAATTGGCCAGGATGTACAAAAATGGTTCAAACCTATGTTGGAAGTGTCAAGAGATGGAAGGCACATTTTTCCACATGCAGCAGACCTGCAAAAAGGCTAGAGAATTCTGGGAGACAATATATATGGAATTAAAGATGTTTAAGACGTCCCCCCCCCCCAAAAAAAAATATTAAACCAACCCCAGAAGCCTTTCTTCTAGGAATAATGGAATTGGATATCCCTAAGAAGCTACTTAATTTATTCCTGTATTCAACGACAGCAGCAAGAGTAACATAT